CTTTCGAAGAACCAGCTTTTTGTTTCATTGATTTTTTTGTATTATCTTTTTGTCTTCTATGTCCTGGATTTGGGCTTTTATCTTGGTGATCTGGATTTTTCTGCTGAAATTAGGGTTTTTGTGGTCTTGCTTTTCCAGCTTCTTTAGGTGGCTTGTTAGGTTGTGAGTTTCTGTTCCTTCCATTTTCTTCATGTGTGTTTGTAGGGATATAAATTCCCCTCTTACTACAGCTTTCAGGGCATCCCAGAGATTTTGGTAAGATGTTTCTTCATTTTCATTTGTTTCCAGGTATCTTTTGATCTCTGTTTTGATTTCATCATCGACACAGGAGTTGTTTAGCATCATGCTGTTTAGTGTCCATGTCTTTGTGGGTTTTGGGGGGACTTTGATGGTGTCAATGTTATTTTTATTCCACTGTGGTCCGAGAAGGTACATGGTAGAATTTCGGTCCTTTTAAATTGGCTTATGCTTGATTTATGGCCGAGTCTGTGGTCGATCTTAGAATATGTTCCATGTGGTGATGAGTAGAATGTGTATTCTGTGGTCTTTGGATGGAGTGTTCTGTAGGTATCAATTAAGTCCATTTGGTCCAAAGTCACATTGAGGTTCTGGATCTCCTTGCTGATTTCTTCTCCTGATGATCTGTCTAGGGTTGTGAGTGGGGTATTAAAGTCCCCAGTTATGATGGTGTTAGAGTCAATATCTTTCTTTAGTTTTCCTAGAAGTTGCTTTATGAAAGTTGGCGCACCTATGTTGGGTGCATATATGTTTAGGATAGATATTTCTTGTTGGTGGATTGAGCCTTTTATCATTATGTAGTGGCCTTCTGTATCTTTTTTGATTTTTAATAGCTTGAAGGGTATTTTGTCTGAAATTAAGATCACTACTCCTCCTTTCTTTTGTATTCCATTTGCCTGAAAGTTTGTTTCCCATCCTCTTACTTTGAGTCTGTGGGTGTCCTTTCTAGTGAGGTGAGTCTCTTGAAGCCAATAGATTGTTGCCTGATGATATTTTATCCATTTTGCCATTCTATGTCTTTTCAGTGGTGCATTTAGTCCGTTCACATTTAGGCTAATAATTGAAATGCAAG